AAGCTCTTCCAGTAAAAACAGATGATAAGATCCAATTGAAAGACAAAACGGAGCCCTGCAGGTGTGGCTCAGTAGGTGAGAGGTCCTATCATGCAATGGAAAGCTGAAGGTTCCATTCGGGGTCACAAGGGAATCCTGGTCAAGGGCACACACATGGTTGCACTTACCAGGTTCTATCCTGGCTCTAGGCAGGGTGCTTTTGTGGGAGGCAAGCAACCCATGTTTCTCTCACATCAATGTTTCTCTCGCTGTATCTCTCTCTCTCTCTCTCTCTCTCTCTCTCTCTCTCTCTCTCCCTCTCTTTCTCCTTCTGCTGAACATGGCTGCGATGCCTGGTGTTTATTCCCTCAAAGGAGAGCGCGGGGGAGGGGTGCAGGAAGGGGGAGACCGGAGATGCAAAAACACCAAACTAAGCGGGCCTTGGAGGGCATGGGAGGCAGAGGTTGAAGTTGAGGTGAATAAAATGTGTATGCTTTCTTATATTAGCTCTGAGAGCAGGATGCCAGAGGCCACCAGCAGCTGGTGGAGGCAGGCGAGGTGCTCCCCAGAGCCCTCAGATGGAAAGGGGTGGCAGAAGGCCTGGCTGTAGGTGGAGGTATTGGGATCTGCTGCTGGGAAGACTTGCAAGGGTCTGTGCTGAGGGAGGATGACGAAAACAAGGCCCCCGTGGTGTAAGGGGCTTCACTGAGGACAGGACTGGTGGGGAGCATAGGGCCAGCGAGGAGCACAAATCCTGTAGGGAGCACAGGACCCGCCAAAGCACAGCACAGGCCATGAACACAGGGGCAGCGGGGAGCCCAGGGCCTGCGGGGAGCACTGAGCCGGCTGGGAACACAGGGCAAGAGGGGAACACTGGCTCCTCAGGGCGGACAATAATGGCGGGCAGCACAGGGCTGGCAGGGAGCAAAGGGCCCTCCTGGGACGCAGGGCCTGCAGAGGAGGGCACAGGCGCGGGCTGAGGGGCGGTGTGATTGGTGGGTTCCCGGTGGAAGGGCCTGTCCGTGGCTCCGCCCCCGCCTGCCAGCGCCCAACCAGCTCTAACCTTTGGAATAGAAACCGACAGGATTCAAATCAGCTGGTATAAATACAGACGTCCCAAGGCAAGGAGACACAGAACCTGGCTGGGGAACCTAACCAGAACTTGGCAGGAGATCCAAACCAGAACTTGGCTGGAGATCCGAGACAGAACTTGGCTGGAGATCCTGACCAGAACTTGGCTAGAGCAATTAGGAAGCAACCTTAGAGTGAGGGAGCGCTCGCTTCCGCTTCCAGGGCGGCTGATTCGAGGGTTTGTTTTTTCCCCCCGCGGCACCTCGGAAGAGTGGCTGCAGCACGGGCCATGCCGTCCGAGAGCCGCCGCCGCCTCAGCCGCTGCCGCAGGGAGTCCCTGCAGGCACTGCGCAGCTCCGGCAAAGGTCGCCTCTGCTACCACCGCGACTGGCTCCTGCGGGGCGAGGGTGTTTTAGAAGAACGTGCGTCCACTCCCCAGCTATCGTCTTACGCCGGGTGGGTGGTAGATCATGTCCTACCCCACACACAAGAGAACCTGTCTGCCTCAGAGACTTCGACATCCTCTAGCTCCACTTCAGGCCTGGACCAACCTTCATTTGTTCCCAGGTCTCCCATAAGAAGCCTTGCCTTCTCACCAGCATCCCCAAGAACACCAGCAACACCAGGTGGGACCAAGGGCACACGTGAGTCCCAGCACACGGAACCCATGTTACTTCGGTCCTCCAGGGGCATCGAGGTGGAAGGCTGCATCCGAATGTATGAGCTAGTGCACAGAATGCAAGGAACAGAGGGCCTGAGGCTGTGGCAGGAGGAGCAGGAGAGGAAGGTGCGAGCGCTCTCTGAGATGGCATCTGAACAGCTGAAGCGTTTTGATGAACGCAAGGAACGGGAGCATCGCAAAGAATTCCAGGACTTGAGGGAAGTGCTGGACAAGAGCTCCAGAGAAGCCCTGGCGCAGCAAGAAAAGCTGAAAGCGGAGCATCGCCACAGAGCGGAGATTCTCCACCTGAAGCTGTGGGAGGCAGAGCAGCAGCGGCTGCGGAGGGAGGAAGGCCAGCTCCGCCTGCGGAGCCTCTATGCCCTTCAGGAGGAGCTGCTGCACCTCAACCAGCAGCTGGACTCTGTGGGCCAGCACAGAGACCCGAAGGTGGACCTGCTGGCCTTGCGGAGCCGAGGCAAGCAGCTGCGCGGCCTCATCTCGGGGATCATTCGGACCACCACGGAGAACGGCGTTCCCACGGCAGAGGACCAAGCCGTGGCCGAGAGCGCGCTGCAAGAAATGCGGGACCTCCTGACAGAAGCTAGGGCGTGTGAAGACAAGAGGAGGAGGCAGGATGAAGAGGAGGCCCGGGTGAAGCGGCAAGACACACAGGTTCAGCAGAGGCCAGAGGTCCACAACGAGTGCCCCGCTCCCAGCCAGGGCCCGGGAGGGACACGGAGTGAAGGCCTCCAGGTGAAGGTCCAAGACAGTACAATGCAGTGGCACCAGCAGCTGCAGGAGGCCTCCCGTCAGTGTGTGCTGGCCTTTGAGGGACTGACAGGCAGCAAAGACAGCCAGGTCAAAAAGATAAAGATGGACCTCCAGAAGGCAGCCACTATCCCAGTGAGCCAGATCTCCACCATCGCAGGCTCCAAGCTGAAGGAGATCTTTGACAAGATCCACAACCTGCTCTCTGGGAAACCTGTTCCATCTGGTGGGCGCTCTGTGTCTGTCACACTGAATCCACAGGGCCTGGACTTTGTCCAGTACAAACTGGCAGAGAAGTTTGTGAAACAAGGAGAGGAGGAGGTGGCCTCTCATCATGAAGCTGCGTTCCCCATCGCTGCCTTAGCGTCCGGGATCTGGGAGCTGCACCCAAGGGTGGGGGACCTCATATTGGCTCATCTGCACAAGAATTGTCCGTACTCTGTCCCTCTCTACCCGGCTTTCAGGGAGGGAATGGCTTTGGAAGACTATCAAAGAATGCTTGGCTACCAAGTGAAGGATTCCAAGGTGGAGCAGCAGGACCGCTTTCTGAAATGCATGTCCGGGATGATGCGTCTCTATGCTGCCATCATCCAGCTCCGGTGGCCATATGGAACTCGACGAGAGGTTCACCCTCATGGCTTAAACCATGGCTGGCGCTGGTTGGCACAGATACTAAACATGGAGCCCCTGCCGGACGTGACGGCCACCCTCCTCTTGGACTTCTTAGAGCTGTGTGGGAATGCCCTCATGAAGCAGTATCAGGCCCAGTTCTGGAAGATGATGCTTCTCATCAAAGAGGACTACTGCCCCAGGATTGAAGCCATTACAAGCTCAGGACAGATGGGGTCCTTCATACGCCTCAAGCGGTTCTTGGAGGAATGTTTGCAGCGCAAGGAGGTTCCTGTCCCCAATGGCTTTCTGACTTCCTCCTTCTGGCGTTCCTGACGTCACTCGTCACCCACCGGTGGCACCGTTTTGTTGCAGAGGTGCAGTAATAAAGCCACTGAGCAGAGCTGTGTTTGAGAGAGCACTGTCAGATTTAGAAACCTACCAATATGTATTTTTATATATTTATGCCTTGTGACTAGGAAAGGTCTTCATGGGCCACTGATGACTCCTCAAGGGATCCACAGGACAGAAGGAATGGATTTGGCCTTCTCACTTTTTCAAACATTTTGAGGTGGTTAGCACTGGATGCCACTGTTTTATTACCTTTCTGTCTCGAATCTCTCAGAAAGTCGGTAATACCTAACCGTTTCGCTCTGAGCTGAAGTGAGCCCACCACTTCCAAGAGTCCTGCAGTAGTTGAGGCCCGAATCCTTACATAGGAGTCTGAGTTTTGGTTGCTTTGCCTTTCTCGGCTTGTGAAGTAATTAGAGGAAATTCAGAGGCAATGCCTGATTTAGGGATGGACTTTGTCCTAAATGGCATTTCGGACAGCCTAGTGTCTAGGATTAGGCCCTGCCATGTGTTGTATTGAACCAAGAAGCACTGTTTGCCCTCTCGATTGGAAGCCAGGGCAGGTGCCTTCTGTGTGTGTCTGGTTTTCAGTTTGAATGAGGATGGACCGAGATGGAGCTGGCCACAGTATGCATGAGCTGAGCCTCCACAAGCAATGACGGGGGTTAGACAGAGATGTTAGGAATTGAGAACTGCTTTATTATTATTATTATTATTATTATTATTATTATTGCTTGTTCTGACTAATGAATGATGGTAAATTTGCCTGATTAAACCCACTCCAAAAATCCAAAGCCTGGCTTTTCAGATTTGAAAGATTTACTGCCTTTTGTACTGCAGAGGCAGCGGCCACGGTCTCTTCCTCCTTAAATGTCATTGAGATAGAAATCGCAGGGTGGGGGGCCCAACCAGGGTGGACAAGTATTGAACATAGCTTGTAACTTGAATCAGACATAGGGGCAGACCAGACTTGAAAAAACATGTCCAAGTCACAGGAGGCATCTGGGGAAGGAAGAAAGCTGAGCAAAGCCTGTCAGGGAGAAGAATAGCTTTAGCAAAATCCCAGGAATTCCGCCTGGCCCTCGCTCGGGGGGCAGCCAAGGTCGGGAGGGGTGATAAAAGGAGGGACTGCCCCTCCGCCCGGCGATTGCCTGCTGCGGTGTCAGTTACAGCAGGGGCCCAGATCCGGATCTGTAATTCAATAAACGCTTGCTTGCTCAAACCATCTATGAGTCTGTGGTCTGTCTCTGGGGGACTGGCTCTGTAACAGTCATGTGTGGGGAATGGGGTGTTTGAGGAGGTTCCCTGGTACTGTTGAAGTGACCCGCTCTAGGAATTATTTACTATGGTGCCAAAAAAATAATAAAACTTGAATTTTAAAAATCCAAAAAAAACCAAAAAGCAACTTTAGTGCTTTGCGGGCCCCAAAAAAATAATAAAACTTGAATTTTAAAAATCCAAAAAAAACCAAAAAGCAACTTTAGTGCTTTGCGGGCCCCAGCGGGCTCCGTAACCCCGCCCCCAGGGGCGGGGCTGGTCCGCCAACTCTGCCTTCGGCAGCATGAAGCCTCCACCAAGGCTGCCCGCCCCCGCCCCCCTCCCCGGGCCGCGCTATGGGGGCGACGTGGCCCATGGCGCCGTCTGGAGCGCCCTCGAGAAGCGGCAGCTGCTCCGACTACTGCAGATTCGGGATTTCCTCCAGCAGCTCAAGAACCCTGTGGCCCGGGAAGCCATTCAGAAGGTGCATCCAGGTGGACTAAAGGGTCCAAGGCGTCGGGAAACACAGCCCCCAGCTCCCATCGAGGTGTGGATGGATCTGGCTAAGAAGGTCACAGGCCCACCGGAGGAAGCTCTGACTGTGGCTTTCTCACAGGCGCTCACCATCATGGCCGTGGAGCCCGTCAGCCTCCTGTACTCCAAGGTGTCCAAGCCAACGCAGGCACATGGAAAACTACTGCCCTTTAACACCCCTAGCAGACAAGAGAAACCGAGCCCTGAGGCTGCTGGCCCCACCCCTGAAGCAGCTGCTGGCCGCTCTGCTGAGGGAGACCTCGAAGTGGATTTTGAAAAGATCTACAAGTACCTGTCAACCATCTCCCACAGCTGCCATGCCCCTGCGCTTTCCCCCGCTGAGTCAGCTGTGGTCCTCCACCTGCTCATGTCACATCCTGAGGAGCTGTCTCACCTGCCCTGTGCAGCCCTGGTTGAGCATATGATGGATACATACCTACATCTGATGGCCCCCCAGTCTGCCCCCAGCGGTGGGAACCTGGGACCAGGAGGTGAGGTTTGTGGGACTTGCTCTAGGGAAATATGGTCTCCCAACCCTTTTCATTTTGAGGATGGTTTCTTTTGCTGTGCAGGACAATTTTAGTTTGATGTCGTCCAATTTGTTTATTCTCTCCTATGTTTCCCTTGCCCTTGGTGTTGTATCAGCGAAAATTCTGCTACATGAAATGTCTGATATTTTTGCTGCCTATGTTTTCTTCTTTTAAGGTTTTTATGGTTTCATGACTTACATTTAAGTCTTTTATCCATTTTGAATTTATTCTTGTGTATGATGTAAGTCTAGTTTCATTTTTTTGCATGTATCTGTCCAATTATCCCAACACCATTATTGAAGAGAATGTCTCTTCTCCGTTGTATGTTCTTGCCTCCTTTGTCAAATACTAATTGAGCATAATGGCTTGGGCCCATTTCTGGGTTCGCTGCTCTGTTCCACTGAGCCACACCAGCCGGGCTTTTAATTTCCTTTTTAACATGAGATAACCTTCCACTTACCAAATTCTCACATATTGAAAACCATTCTACTTTAGATGGAAAGGGGGTGGAGCTGGCTCTTCCTATGGAAGAGGGAGATACAACCATCTGGGGTGGGGCCTGAGGGCTTGCATTCATAACAATGGCCAGCAGGTGGCGATGCTCCCTGGAAGTTATGAATGGAAGCAACCAATCACTGTAGCGCTATGACTTGTCACCAAAAGAAACGCCAGCTGTCACATTACATTGAGATTACATTGCGGCTGCTGAAGACATCTTGAAATATTGTTTATCACTCTTTTGAAATGATATCACTCATTAGACCCACTGCTATACCTTATTTACTGTACAATAAGTACAGTATAGTATCTGGTTGAAATTACTGTTAGTGACATGGAAAACTGGCTCACCTAATAAACTGTTAATTTTTTATTACTCTATGTGAATATAATGGCTTTTACTTTTATTTTCTAGGTATTTGTGTTTTTACCAATTATTCTGAGGAGTCTGTGGTAAGGTGGGCTGGGGCCAAGCCTCCTCCTGACTGCCCCCTCGTCACCTCACGCCTTTCATGTGTGGATCTGTGTCCCAGCTGAAGGCTGGCACTTCCATTGGTCTATGGACCACGGCAACTCTTAGAAAGACACCACATGATTCTGAAAAGCAGCCAACATATTGAACTATTGCTTGCGATGACCTCTACCCACCGCTCAAATCCTAGAGGCGGGAGAGGAAGCTGAGATGGCTGGTTTGCCTGGGAAAGCAGCAGAGTGCTGTATAGCGCTCTCCCCAGCCCATTGTCAAGAAGCTGGAGAAAGGCCCAGAAAGGCCCAGATGGATGCTCAGGGCCTTGACCATGGGTATCTTCAGATTGACCACACTTAAAAGCCACCCATCAATGATGAGAGAGAATCATCAATCAGCTGCCTCCTGCACGCCCCCTACTGGGGATGAGCCCACAACTGGGGCATGTGCCCTGACTGGAATCGAACCTGGGAGCCTTCAGTCCTCAGGCCGACGCTCTATCCACTGAGCCACACTGGCTAGGGCCCGGGTTGCTTTTTGCTGGAGTGCATTCGGGGATTTGCCTCCAGAGGTTCTGATGTAGTGCATCAGGCGTGGGCTCAGGAAGCCACTTTCCCAGAAGCCTCTGGGAGGACAGCGGAGAGGTGAGCCCAATGATGGCAGCAGTTGCCTCCAACAGCTTTCTGCCGCCTTGGGGTGGAGGGGTGAGGCCCGTGGAGAAAGGAGAGGTACCAACTCCTGAGGGAAAAGCCCCATTCACGGCCCTCTAATTTCAGTAAAGGCTAAGAAGGTACAAAACCAAATTCTGCCATCCTCCGACCTCCCCCTAGCCTGCCCCACAGCTTCTGGCGCACAGCCTCCAGCCCGGGCAGCTCCTGCACTGGGTGACTACCTCCCACCACTGCCCCGTGATGCTCTCCCCTCTCCTGCCCCCAGGGAACTGCCGTCTTCCTGCAGCAGCACAGGCCTCCTCCCGCAGTCCCTGTCCCCGCTGACCTTGGGTCTTTGGCCTTTCTCTCGCCTTCCACCTGCTGAGCATCTTCCTAACTATTTTTCTCAGAAAAATTATCAATGGAGGGGGAGTCAGTCCATCCTGGAATTTGATGCCGGCAGTTCCTGCCCTCATCTGGCCATGGGGTGGCTCCCTGAGATGTTTCTGCTCCTTGTTCTGAAACTCTCCATGCAGGTTAGTAAAAAACAATCAAGCCCTCAGCTCTAACACCGATGGCGTCTCCTGCTTGTCTCTGTGGCTCAGAGAGCGGCAGCTGGGGGGGCTCTCAGCTAAGGTGGGATGAATCAGGGAGTCAGAGCAGGCGTGGGGATGAGGGCTGGTGAGAGCCGCACCCAGGCTGTCAGGCCCTGGGGAGGGACGCGTGGAGAAGGAGTGAAACTGCTCTAGAGAAGGGGTCAGGGGACAGGTGTCACTCAGGTCCCTCTGCACAGCCCCTTCACCCCCGAGAACATCTAGGACAGGGTCTCCTTTTACACTCGCCTGGGGACCCCTGTCACGCGGGCTGCCCTTTGGTCTCACTGGGTTGTACCCATCTATACGCCTCGCACACCCCACCTCCGTCGCCCGGGCCCGCCAATGCTGGGAGTTGCCCTGGGGCTACAGACCATCCAGGGAGCGGTAGTGACGATCAGCTGGTCGCTCCCCTACCCCACCCACCACAGCGACTCTCCAGGCTCCCAAACAGGCCCACCTGATTCAGTACCAGGGCTCACTTCGGCCCACCTGCATCAGAACGCCTTTCTGACAAGCCGGGGGGCGCCTGAAGCACTGCCCTGAAGGGTGGGGACCAGGTTCCAGGGCTGCCTCCTGTGGGGGCTTCCCAGCTCCGCACCCCGCACCACTGGTCCCGGCTTCACCTGTCCGTTCTCAGAGGTGGCTGTGATGGTCTGCAGCTGTCCCTCAGGCGGGACACTCCTTGGAAGCAGCATTTGTCTTTCATCCCAGTGCCTGGCAGGTAGCGTGTTCCGATCAGGTCTCCCCCTTCAGCCCACTAACCGCAGATGCCCGACAAAGTCTTGGTGGAGGCTTGTGGAGGGGGTGCCCGGAGGCTGTCAGGAAAGCAGCTGTTGTCTTTGTGACTGGTTGGTTGACACAGCGATTCAAGACTCCTCTGCCGAGAGCACCCCAGGAGCCTCATCCAATTCCAGAGTCTGGAGGAGACGCTGAGCCCACAAATGGGACATGCGAGTGAGCAGAAACGGAATTCCCTGTGAAAGTGGCTCCAGTTGGAGATGAATGTGATGGGATTCCGTCTGAGGGCCCACATGTCCCTAGAACAGCCGTTCTCAACCTTCTGGCCCTTTAAATACAGTTCCTCATGTTGTGACCCAACCATAAAATTATTTTCGTTGCTACTTCATAACTGTCATGTTGCTACTGTTATGAATCGTCATGTAAATATCTGATATGCAGGATGGTCTTAGGTGACCCCTGTGAAAGGGTCGTTCGACCGCTGCTGGACGCCAGTCCATCCTTGCTGCTTGACACAGTCGCTGCAGGGAAGAATTATCTGCACAGCGTATGTTTCAAGGGACATGGCGTATATGGCATACTGTTCTTAATATGTTTGCTCCCCTTCTTGGTGCTATGTGTTTTAACCAGGGTCACCTCTCTGATAAAGGTTGTTTCCTTTTTCCCTGAAGTTAGTTAAGGGATTTTATCCCCTCCCTAAGTGCCAGACGGGTAGTTAATCACTGTAACTACGAACAATCACGCTTAAACTACTTAATCTTTACTCCCTGGGATGGAGATAAGAAATGCCCTAACCTTTGAAATAGAAATTGATAGGATTAAAGTCAACTGGTACAAATACAGATGTAACAAGACAATAAACGACGTGCCCTAACAGGTTTGGCTCAGTGGATAGAGCATCAGCCTGGGGACTGAAGGGTCTCAGGTTCGATTCCTGTCAAGGGCAGGTACCTTGGTTGCAGGCACATCCCAGTAGGGTGTGTGCAGGAGGCAGCTGATCGATGTTTCTAACTCTCTATTCCTCTCCCTTCCTCTCTGTAAAAAAAATCAATAAAATATATTTTTTTAAAAAAAGACAATATATGACAGAACCTGGCTAGGTTGCTGATCAACTGAACGCAGCCTCTGTGTCATTCCTTCTTCGCCGACTCTGTCCACACCTTTGGGAACCCCGGACCTGCTGGGGTTGGACCCCAACAGACCGCCAAAGGGGTCGCAACCCACAGGTTGAGAACCACTGCTCTAGAACTACAGGAGCATCACCAGGAAGGTGGGTGATGACCAAATACTAGCCAGGGTGAGACTGGCTGCAAACTCGACTTAAGCTGAGTGACATGCTCTGCTTTCCTCAGACTGAGCCACCCAGTCCCCAATGTCAACCTGGCCTTGCTGACCAGGGCACGTCCTGAATTGTCTGGGAATGAAGTGATGGTGAGCCTACTCTATGCTAGAGGCTGCAGGGCGGGTGGGCAGCCCTGAGGGGGAGCTTGTCAAAGTGGATTTGGCCTGAGGCAGGGAGGCCAGGGGGAGCTGCTGCTGCCCTCCACAGCTGATCCTGATATCTCAGTGGTCCAATTCTGGGTTTATTTGGAAGGTAAAACTGACAGAATTTGCTGACAGACTAGGTTGGGATGTGAGAAGGAGGAATCAGGGATGACACCGAGGCTGTGTTTTGAGGGACAGGAAGAATGGAGTCACCATTCCCTGTGATGGTGGGAGTAGGCTGCTGTGGGAGAGGGGATATGGGCTCTTGCCGCCCTCCAAGACACCATCCCTTTTGCTGAGACCTGAGAATGACCTGTCTCCCTACACACTCTTTATATCCAGACAGTTCATGTTCTTAATTCTGCATCCTGAATGAATACTTAGCAGTGAAGACCTAATTTGAATTGTGGGTGTGGCTAATTTTCCATGGTTTCCTGTTGCCCCTTGGGTAACACTGCTCCCTTCACACAGTCCCCCAGAAACGGAATTGCTGGGTCATCGGGTTGTTCTATTCTTCACACTGTTTTCCGTAGTGGCTGCACCAAGTTGCAGTTCCACCAACAGTACACAGGGGTTTCCTTTTTTCCACATTCTTGTCAATTCATGTTATTTGTTGACTTTTTGATAGTAGCCATTCTGATAGGCATGAGGTGATATCTCATTGTGCTTTTGAAATATATTTTTGCCGAAACCGGTTTGGCTCAATGGATAGATAGAGCGTCGGCTTGCAGACTGAAAGGTCCAGGTTCAATTCCGGTCAAGGGCATGTACCTGGGTTGCGAGCACATCCCCAGTGGGGAGTGTGCAGGAGGCAGCTGATCGATGTTTCTCTCTCATCGATGTTTCAAACTCTCTATCTCTATCACTTCCTCTCTGTGAAAAATCAATAAAATATATTTAAAAAAAATAAAATATATTTTTATTGATTTCAGAGATGAAAGGAGAGATAGTAACATCAATGATGAGAATCATTGATTGGCTGCTTCCTGCACACCCCCTACTGGGGATCGAGCCCGAAACCTGGACATGTGTCCTTGACTGGTATTGAACCCAGGACTCTTCAATCTGTGGCCGATGCTCTATCCACTGAGCCACACCAGTTAGGGCTTAAGCATCTTTTTTATTTTTTTATTGAGCCCACAAGCCAGACATATGCCCTTGACCAGAATCAAACCTGGGACCTTTTAGTTCGCATGCCAACACTCTATCCACTGAGCCAAACCGGCTAGGGCTTGAGCATCTTTTTAGATGTGTTGGCCATCTGTGTGTACTCTTTAGAGGAATGTCTCTTAATTCCTGTGCCCTTCTTTTTATCGCATTGTTTATTTATATTTTTGTTACTGAGTTGTAGGAGTTCCTTATATATGTTGGATATTAATACCTTATGGGCTATTTGCAAGAATCTCCTTCTGTTCAGTAAATTGTCTTTTCATTTTGTTAATGGTTTACTGTGCAGAGGCTTTTTAGTTTGATATATTTCCATTTATTTATTTTTGCTTTTGTTGCTTTTGCCCAAGGAGATATAAAAAAAAGTGTTGTTAAAAGTGATGTCAAAGAGTTTACTTTCTATGTTTGATTTAGGACTTTTATGGTTCCATGTCTTACATTTAAGTATTTAATCCATTTTAAATTTATTTTTGTATATGTTGTAAGAGAATGGTTCATTTTCACTTTTTTCATTTATCTGTCCAGTTTTTCCAGTACCTCTTGTTGAAGAGACTCTCATTTCTCCATTGTACATTCTTGTCTCCTTTGTCATAGATTAATTGACCATGTAAGTGAGAGTTTATTTCTGGGCTCTCTATTGTGTTCCATTGATCTGTGTGTCTGATTTGTGCCTGTGCCATACTGCTATAATTACTATAGCTTTGCAATGTAGTTTAAAACCAGAGAGTGTGACACCTATAAATTTGTTCTTTCTCAAGATTGCTTTGGATATTCTGGGTCTTTTGTGGTTCCACATAAATTTTAAGATTATTTGTTGTGGATAAAGAATTCTTGGTTGGTGGTTTTGTCTTTCCACACTAAATATTTCGCCTCACTCAATTCTTGCTTGCATGGTTTATGACAGGAACTCTGATGTAATTCTTATCTTTATTTCTCCATAGGTAAGATGCTTTCCCTCTGACTTCTTTCAAGATTTTCCTTTTTGTCTTTGGTTTTCTGCAATTTGAATATGATAGGATTAGGTGTAGATTTTTACTTTATTTTATTTTTAAAAATATATATTTTATTGATTTTTTACAGAGAGAAAGAGAGAAGGATAGAGAGCTAGAGACATCTATGAGAGAGAAACATCAATCAGCTGCCTCCTGCACACCCCCTACTGGGTGTGCCCACAACCAAGGTACATGCCCTTGACCAGAATCAAACCTGGGACCCTTCAGTCCACAGGTCAATGCTCTATCCACTGAGCCAAACCAGTTAGGGCTATTTTATTTTTTAAAGATATATTTTTATTATTGACTAGAGGCCCAGTGCACAAAATTTGCACACTCGGGGGGGGGGGGGTGGTGTCCCTCAGGCCAGCCTGCACCCTCTTGCAGTCTGGGAGCCATTGGACATCCTTAACGCTGCGGAGGCAGGAGAGGCTCCTTCCTCTGCCTCTGTGCTCACAGCGGTGAGTTCAGCTCAGGGCTTTTGGCTGAGTGGTGCTCCCCCTGTGGGAGTTCACTGACCACCAGGGAGCAGCTCCTGTATTGAGCATCTGCGCCCTGGTGGTCAGTGTACATCATAAGGACCAGTCATTCTGCCATTCAGTTGATTTGCATATTAACCTTTTATTATATAGGATTTCAGAGAGGAAGGGAGAGGGAGAGATAGGAATATCAAGGACAAGAGAGAATCATTGATGGGCTGCCTTCTGCCCCCCACCTCCCCAACTGGAGATCGAGCCCACAACCTGGGCATGTGCCCCGATTGGGAATCGAACCATGGCCTCCTGTTTCATAGGTCGGTGCTCAACCACGGAGCCATGCGGGCCGGGCCCTAGGTATAGATTTTTAGTCTTTTATCTTATGTGGTGTTCTCTGAGCTTCCTGGATTTGTAGTTTGCTGTTATTAATGTGCATAAAATTTTAGCCATTATTACTTCAAATATTTATTTTGTTCCCTTCTCTTTTTCTCCTCCTTTTGGTATTTTTTTAAAATAACTTTTTTATTTTTCAATTACAATTGACATACAATGTTATATTAGTTTCAGGTGGATAACATAGTGATTTAGACACTTATGTAACTTATGAAGTGATCCCCCAATCAGTCTAGTATCCACCTATGACCATACATAGTTGTTATAATATTTTTCACTGTATTCTCATACATCCCTGACACAGTTTTTATTTGCACATTTTAATCCCTTCACCCTTCACCTTTTTACCTCTGCCCCCACTCCCTCTCCCCTCTGGCAACCATCAAAATGTTCTCAGCATCTATGAGGGTTTGTTTGTTCATTTATTTTTTCTTTAGAATCCACATGCAGGTGAAACCACATGGCATGTCTTTCTCTGTCTGACTTATTTCACTGAGCATAATTCTCCTTTTGGTATTCTTTTTTTTATTAATAAGTTTTATTTCTTGAAGTATTACAAAGAGTATTACATATGTCTCCTCCCCCCCCCCTTGACATTCCCCTGGCCCCCCCTACCCCCTAGTGTCTTGTGTTCATTGGTTATTCTTTTTAAAAAATATATATATTTTATTGATTTTTTACAGAGAAGAAGGGAGAGGGATAGAGAGTTAGAAAAATTGATGAGAGAGATCGACCAGCTGCCTCCTGCACGCCCTCCAGTGGGGACGTGCCCGCAACCAAGGTACATGCCCTTGGCCGGAATGGAACCTGGGACCCTTGAGTCCGCAGGCCAACGCTCTATCCACTGAGCCAAACCGGTTCAGCTATTGGTTATTCTTATATGCATGCATATAAGTCCTTTGGTTGATCTCTTAACACCCCCCCAAACCCTCCCCAGGCTTCCCACTGTAGTTTGACAGTCTGTTCAATGCTGCTCTGCCTCCGCATCTCCCCCTGTTCATCAGTCTATACTGGTCCCCATTATCCGTTTCAACCTCCTGGGGCCGTTTCAAACTCACTGGGGCCGTCCCAACTTCACTGGAGGTGTCCCGGCCTCACTTGGGCCATATCGGCCTCACGAGAGCTGTCCCGACCTCACTGGGGTAACATGAAGTTTGGCACTCTGTCCCCTGCCGGGTGGCTCCCCACCAGACAAAATCTCCAGGCATTCCTGGTGGCTGAACATCCGGCACGCCTGCTCAGACTTCGCCCTCCACCAAGTGCACAGACTGTCCGTCTGCCGACCCCCAGCGTCCCACGTGAGACTGGAACTGGTCAACGTGCTTGTGTGCCTGCTGGTACAGCGGTTCCACATTGCCGGCCCAGCCCGGCCGGCCCGGGCCTCCCCCGAACCCGACTCCGCCCCCCGAGCGCGTCCCTCCTGGATCCGAGGAGCCAAAATCTGCAGCCTGCTGGGTTGGGCTCTGTACTTGGTGCCTCTGCACATCCTAATCAGTCTCAATGCTCTTCTTTCTATGTGAGGAGCCAAAATCTGCAGCCTGCTGGGTTGGGCTCTGTACTTGGTGTCTCTGCACATCCTACTCAGTCTCATTGCTCTTCTTTCTTTCCTTCCAATTGTAGAGCTTCCACTGGGCCAGCTTTCCCATGGTTCCGTATGATAGCTGTTTGTCCTATAGTTGGTAGTTTCGATGTTGTTGTGGGAGGCAGCACGCACAGGTCTATACCTTATGCCGCCATCTTGGTTCTCCTGGTATTCTTATATGCATATGTTATACCTTTTGTATTTGTCCTGCAGTTCTTGAATATTCTGTTCTATTTTTGTTTTCCTTCACTTTTTTCTATTTGTATTTCAGTTTGGGAAGTTTCTATCCCCATAGTCTCAAGCTTAGAGGCTCTTTCCTTCTCAGAGTTTCAATCTCTCTGCTTACATTTATCCATTTTTCTTGCAATGTTATCCACTTTTTCCACAACAATCCTTAGCATATTAATCATTGTTTTTATTTTTATTGATTTCAGAAAGGAAGGGAGAGGGAGATAGAAACATCAATGATGAGAAAGAATCATTGATCAGCTGCCTCCTGCATGCCCCCTACTGGGGATCCTGCAACCCCAGCACGTGCCCTTGACTGGAATCGAACTTCGGACCCTTTAGTCCGCAGGCTGATACTCTATCCACAGAGCCAAACCAGCCAGGGCCTGTCTCTGGTTTTCAAGGCAACCGTTTACCTTGTGACCCCAAATCTCTGATGGACCTAAGGAGAGTCATCGCTTTTAGTTTATCAAGTTCTTTCCTTGTCGTAAGGATGAGAGTGATGCTCCCAGCTCTCTGCATCGCAGAGCAGAAGCCTGAAGTGTCGGCTCCTTTTTTACTGCATCTCGGGGTCCCTCCTAGAAATGCCACAGAAGGACCTAATTCCACATAAACATCCCACTTCCTTGCATTGGCCTTGCTTGGTGTTAATGATCCTGGTTCTTTCTCTTGCCTCTTAGACCTACTGTGAGCACCCTGTTCAGCAAGACGGTGACAACTTGAAAAGTTTACAAAGCAGGTAAGTAAGTACCTGGCCTTACAATGAGGCTTGAGCTCCCAGTTTAGAAGGCAGATGAGAGCTGGGCCCCCACTTACTTGCGTTCACCCTTCTGAAACTAGCTTCAGGCCCCATGAGGACTCCAGTCACCCCCTTACTCTCTCCCCCTCCTCCACCCCTCCCCGCAAGCTGCCCAGCTCACCTACTGCTTCTCTGTTTCCCAGTCCCAGGGTCTCCCAGGTCTCTCGCTGACCAGCGCTTCTGCGAGATCACCCTCCGGGGAAGTTTGGAGACTCCCCCAGGGAGGCAGCGGCAGTGACAGAGACAATGACCTGTTTCTGGACCTTTATCTACAAAATCTCCAAACTGCTGCTGGGAAAGACAGAGACAGTAGAAGCTCCTTGGCCGGATGTAAACTGTGGCAGCCAGTATGCAGGGGTCCGCTGGCTGGAGGAGGAGCCCCCCCCCCAGTCTCAGCACTGTGGGGGCGTTCCTGAGCCTTGGCCCCTGTGGGACGGAGTTCCAGGCCAGGACTTTGGAAGCAGGTGACGCCACAGCACCTGAAGCAGCAGCCAGCCTGCTCTAACCCACTCCACCACACGCAACACAAGCATGCCACCTTCTGGCTGTGTGGAGGCTTCTCCGGGATGGATGCCCAGGAAGGGGATTGCTGGCCCAGGGAGGATGTCGCTAAGTAGGAGAGAGGGGTCCCGCCATTGGCAGTGCCTGGAGCCCCACGTGCCCCGTTCCCTGTGAGCCAGCTTGCTAAGCTTGCCAGGCAGTAGAGAGCAGTGATTCTCGCCATTTTCTCAGTGTGCACGCCTCTGAGCACTAAGGAGTTTGGGCACCTCATGTGCTAGTTGGCTGGTGGGGGTTCCTCTTCTGAGGTGAATGGCTCCCGCTAAGAAAGGAGGCAAGACAGGTTTCCAGAGGGCGCGTTAGGACAGGAGCCAGCCTCAGCGGGGCCTCCTGGGGACCGAGCTGGCCAGTCCCAGGCGGAGGCTTTCTCTCCATCCTGCAGACACCCGCGCTGCTTGTCCTGGGCTCTGTGCTCTGGTCCCGCCCTCCTGAGCACACTTCGGCTTGCATGCAGCTTGGGTATAACCTAGCACCGACGCCAGCCCCTTACTCCATCCTGAATCCTCTGGAAAATGGGCCGAAACCAGCTGTCATGGTGGGAAAGGGCTCTTCAGTGTTACAGTGTCCCTCCTGCATCCCTCACAGTCCCAGGGACACCGACTCAGCCCCCTGAGCCTCATTTTCCTCTCTGTTTGGTTTCAGAGTGGAGAGCAGCCCAGCAATATGCAGGTAACTGGAGGTGGGGCCAAGGAATGATGTGACTTAGGTTGGCTGGACCTTTAAACAGAGGGAGGTGGAGCGATCTGAGATTAGAGGAGGAGTCTGTCCAGAAGCCAAGTATGAGCCTGCACACACAGACACACAAGTCCACTTGCACAGACATAACACCACCCACACGCCTGCGTATGCACATATGCACACATGCATGCTTGCATGCATAGATGTGATTAGCTCACACAGGTATACATTGGTGTACACATACATACCCCCACAAGCATATATCTTTCTTCGTCTTATTAATCCTCACCAGAGGATATTTTTTCCCATTGGTTTTCATTGAGAGTGGAAGGGAGAGGGAGAGACAGAGAGAAACATGATGTGAGAGAGACACCTCGATTGCTAATTGGTTGCCTCCCGCTTCTGCCCTGACCTGGGCCGGGGATCAAGCCTGCAACTGAGGTGTGTGCCCTTGACCGGAATCCAACCCACAACCAACCCTTCAGTGTGTGGGGCCCACACTCTAACCACTGAGCAAACCAGCTAGGGATCTTTCTTGGTTTTACTGGGTCTTTCCATCTGCAGGAGGCTGTTTGCAGGAGCCAATGCAGAGCTGTAAGGAACCTTTCAGATGGTCTGACAGAGGGATCCTTTGGGTTCCCATCCATCAAATGGGTGTGTTCCGGCAGCTATGGTGATGGCAGGGCACTGGACTAGATCATCTCAGAGGTCCCCTGCAGCTTTAAAATCCTAGACTTGTGCCCTAACTGGTTTGGCTCAGTGGATAGAGCGTCGGCCTGGGGACTGAAAGGTCCCAGGTTCGATTCTGGTCAAGGGCATGTACCTTGGTTGCGGGGCACATCCCCAGTAGGGAGTGTGCAGGATGCAGCTGGTGATGTTTCTCTCTCATTGATGTTTCTAACTCTCTATCCCTCTCCCTTCCTCTCTGTAAAAAAATCAGTAAAATATATATTTTAAAAAAATAAAATCCTAAAATTGCTGTAAAACTGAGGCAAACACACACACACACACACACACACACACACACACACACACAACAAGCTCAGAGCTCAGTGATGCTCTCTCTCGGCCACACTGATGGTGAAACAGTGGGACTAGCCCAGCCCTAGGCTCCCTCCCCTGGACCAGGACTTGAGGGCAGTGAGCTCCCCATCCCCAGGAGCCTGCCTTGTTCCTGTCTCTCCTCTCCAAGGCACCGGCACCAGGCACCTGTATAGAATTCAGGAACCTTCCAGGTCAGGAAAGAAATAGGGTTCCTCTTATCACATTCAAATGCCCCGGGTGCCTGCAGGCCACTTCAGTCTCCGAGTGTTTGGGGTGACGGTGGGGGTGAATATTCTACCAATTGCTCCAAAAATAGAGGTTGGCCAGTTGGGAGGAGACAGGTAGGGCCTGGCACCCTGCGGGGCCCTGACGCAGAGCCTCTGCGCAGTGAACGTGACCCTGGATTCGGCCTCAGCACACCCCAGCCTGGAGGTCTCCCAGGACGACAGGAGCGTGTCCTCCCGCTGGGCGGCCTTGTTCCCGGCGGTGCCGGGAGACCCACAGCGGTTCACCGAGCAGATGTGCGTGCTGAGCCACCAGTGCTTCCGGACCGGCCTCCACTACTGGGAGGTGGACATGTGCCAGCGCAGCCGCTGGTTCCTGGGCGCCTGCCTGGAGGCGGTGGCGCGCGCCGGGCCGGCGCGCCTGAGCCCGGCCGCGGGCTACTGGGTGATGGTGCTGTGGAACGGCTGCGAGTACTTCGTGCTGGAACCGCTCGCCGGGCGCTGTCCCTGCACGTGCTGCCCCAGCGAGTTGGCATCTTCATGGACTGCGAGGCCGGGAAGCTGGCCTTTTTCAACGTGTCCGACGGCTCCCACATCTTCACCTTCACCGACACCTTCTCGGGGCGCTCTGTGCGTACTTCAGGCCCAGAGCCCCGACGGCAGCACACGCCCCGATCCGCTCACCATCTGCCCGTTGCCCCTTCGAGGAACACCCGTCCCTGAAGAGGAGGACGGTGACACCTGGGCACAGCCTTAGGAGCCCTCGGCGCCCCTCATGTACCCTTGGTGAGGCGCGCGCTCGCCGGGGTGGAGGACTAGCCGCCAAAATGCCAGCAAAGGCGACAGACAGACAGACAGCACAGCACAGCGGAAGGGAAACAGACAGGGACTTGGCCTGCGTAGATGTGTCTGTGTGTTTATAATTTTCTTCTTTTAAAAAATAGGCAATTCCCAAGCTTGTCTGTGTGTATCATAGGATTGAGAACATATTAATGTTGCCAGGAGCCACTGTGCTCACTGCACAATGGGGGAGGAAAGGGGGGAGGGGGGAGAAGGGAGACATATGATTGCATTAAAGATATCCATTAACTTACATATTTGTATACGGCGTATTTATTTTCTAGTTGATAAGGAATGAATTCATCTAGGGCTCATATCCCAGTTTTAAATGTCAATTCCCACTAACATGAACTTGGGAAATGGCTGATTTCCGGGCTGGGACTGAGAAAGCACTGCCCCGACCTGCAGGGCACGCTTCGTGGGTACACCACACCAAATCCTGCAAAGGAATGAGAGGATAGGAGACGCGAAGAAATGGAGGCAAGACTAAGTTCTGATCAAGAGGATTGAGAACATATTGATGTTGACAGGAGCCACAGTGCTCACTGCGCAAAGGGGGAGGAAAGGGGGGAGGGAGGAGAAGGGAGGAATGTCGCAGCTTATCAGCGGAGATGTAGCTTGCTTTGTGCTTAGGGTGAGGGTATGTTATCTTTTAACTCAATGAATTCATCTAGGGCTCATATCCCAGTTTTAAATGTCAATTCCCACTAACATGAACTTGGGAAATGGCTGATTTATAATGGCTCCCAACAAAGCACAAGGCAGATCTTGACCATTTTGTGCCTTCAAGTGTAAACGTGCTCAAAAACTGATGGGACACAGCCAGGAACACAGGAGCGAGGTGAAGAGGCACCGCTGGCCATGGCGGGACGATTTGAACTTTAAAGAGAATCTTTTTTAAAATATATTTTTATTTATTTCAAAGAGCAACAGAGAGGAAGAAACATCAATGATGAAAGAGAATCATTGATCGGCTGCCTCCTGCACACCCCCTACTGGGGATCAAGCCCAAACCCAGGCATATGCCCTTGACCGGAATCGAACCCGGGACCTTTCAGTCCACAGGCCAACGCTCTATCCACTGAGCCAAACTGGCTAGGGCTTAAAGAGAATCTTGGCAAGAATGAATTGTGACAAGAATTGCTCAACACGGGGCTGAGCAAATAAATGTCGTGAAGTCTGCTGAGCAGCAGGTTTCTCAGAGAAAGAAAACAAACACAAAATACAGAGAGGGGCAAGGAGAGAGCGAAAGAATGCCTCTGAACTCATGGTTTTCACAGTGTGCAGGTGGACGGAACACGTGTGTGATGGGGCGGAGGGGTGTGTGTATGAGCATGGTATTGTTCCTGGCTCTGCTTTGAGGACTTAGGAACAGTAACATCCAGGACCAATGAGCACACACATCTGGCACCATAACTTGTTGTTTTTTAGCCTTTTCCAGTAAAAGAACAAGGCTCCTTGGAGAAATGATGGGCTCTGGGTCTGGGAAAACAGACAGGTGTGACATTGAGATTTATTATACATCCTATATAATAAAGAGCTAATATGCTAATTAGAACGGATAGCGGAATGACCTTCCAGAGAGACCAGTGGGCGGGGGGGCAGGGCCATGAGGCAACCTGGGCCGAGAGGCATGGGGGGTGGGGTGCGAGGGCCTACTCTTGCATGAATTTCGTGCATTGGGCCTCTAGTTTATATATAGTTTTTTACCCAGGTTCTGGTACAGAGGTCCTAAAACCCTTGGAATGTCCTCAGTGATAAGAGAAATAAGGGTGTCTTTTGAAGTCTCTAACAAGCCCCTCTCAGATACTCCAGAGCTCATTTTAGTCAAGGCGATGACTTTTGGAAAGCTGTGAGGATCTGGTCTAGCTGCCTGGGGAACCACCTAGTCATT